TTTACGATCCGAAGTAAGTATTCAGAGAGACATATTCAGAATATTAAATTGGGGAGTCTAATGTGTTCCCACAAAACAAAGAAATGTGTACAGATTCTTTAAAAACATTAATAGTTTAAAGCATATTTTAAAACCACAGTAATACCCTCCAATCGAACACCAATATGATGTTTCACAAAACTGCATCCATAAGGACTTACCCTAAGCACACAATAAATGTGTCACCCTAAGAGAGTACCTTGGGGTTTATGGTCCTACCCAAGGGTCTCATTAGGTCCGTAAGGATTTACCAGCTTGATCAAAGCTGAACCTCCGTACTCCAGACTCCTACTCATACAATATCAAATAGAAATCAGATTGAGCATTAATTTTAATATCAAAATCATGATCCAGTATAATGTTTTAAAAATGACAATGTAGTTATTTAAATCACATGAATGCCCTCTATCTGTACACCAAAATATAGTCATATACTAAGGAAGTACCTTGGGGCCTTAGAGCCTACCCAAGGAATACCTTAGGTCCGTAAGGAATTACCAGTTTGTCAGAGCTGAACATTCATACTCCAAAATCCTTCTCGGTTCATACAGTAATAAATAGATTCCATGATTCATAAATCAAGAATGATTATATTTCCAGTGAAAACATGTAATTAGAGAACACATATCAGGTCGTCATAGTTCATAAATAGTAATTCAATACATCAGTAAATCAAAATATCGAACAGCTAAAAGATTCAGTAAAATAATAACTTCAGCAAATCACATTTCAGGACAGATAAAATAATCATATATTACATATGGAACACACTAGAATATCCAATTATTCTTCAGAGGTACTTGGTATTTATCAGGTAGGGACCCACGAAAATTTTGTAATTTTTTAAAATTTCATAAATGAGATCCCTATTAAAAAGGTTCGATAGCTAACGAATTAATCAATCATTCATAAAGCGATACATCAGGATCATTTAGTGTTTAGATATATCTGAATGGTATTTAAGAATTGTTGTATCAGAATTTACTTAAGATTCAAATATTCCAGGGGTGATTCCGTCAATCATATTCATAAGAGCATTATATTCATTTGATTCTTGAGAAATTTGATAAATCAGTTTAAAAAATGTATGAAGTGATTTATAGAATTTCAGATTTCAAACATCTTAACATGTTTCCAATTCCACTCGCATTGTACAAATCCCAACAAAGGCAATACTTATCAAGTATGTAGGTAAAGAAAACTTCACAAATGTTCATTTCTTAAAGCTGACTGCACTGTGGTATCGAATTGATCACATTCATAACCATTTTTGGACTAATCATGAGGATACAAATAGGTATTTAAGCGGTATTTAATTACTTTGTAACAATATTAGGGATGATCGACCTACTTAGGTCGTACTCTATAAACCTCAAGTGCATTACCGCATTTAAAGCTTCACCGATATCTTCAGAATTTATCTAAGACATTTGCTCAATCCAAGTCATGAGGGCATTTAGGTCATTTTGGTATTCAATGTTGATTTATTCATTTTGGAGCTTGAGGGTATTTAGTCATTCCAAGGCTTGGAGTTACTTTGGGTTAGTTGCACTTCAAGGGTATATTGGTCATTTCTTTCAGTCTAATCTTTCCATTTAATTTAATTTTTTCGAATAATTCAAACTTAAATAGTACTTCCGATGTTTTAGCTTTTAGGTATTTGCTGATAAATCAACAATTCTAGGTTTTGTACCTTCTCGAATGTTAAGATCTTATTATTAGTTACTTTTCGAACATATTAGGAATTTAACAGGTGAATCAGTAGTTTATCGGATTAAATACGAATTCTCATGGTACTTTCACTATCAGGGTTAGTCTGGACCACTTTTATCTCATAGAGTAATTTCATAATTTCTTAACCAGGTGATTTCGATATTAAAACTTTTAACGAAAATAATTAGAATTTGAAGATCATGAGGTTGATTGCTTTATCGGTTAATCACTGAACCTGAAATTATTTCTTATCAGTCTTCTAGTGTCTTATACATGTAATCTGAGTCTTATTCAGTTTAGTTGATTTTCTTAGCATTTGGATCGAGTTTAGAAATGCATTAATTACACACATGTAACCAACATATTCATCTATGCATTAACTAATACCAACATGTTCCATAAAGCATACATGTATTACCTCATTTTTCAAGCCATAATGGTTAACCAATTAAACTCTATTTGATTGCCCTCAAACTTTAATTCCACGTCTAATAATGTCTCGGATACATGGCAAAACCAATTACATTAGAAACGAAACTTAAACGTGAAAAATTCGTATTGAATCGGGAGATAAAATGCCAAAAATAGCTTATTGAGTTTGAATTTGGAAAAACATACTTCGAATTCGGACTTAGGATGTCGAAAAACATAAAATAAAACTTTTCGACAACGGTCAACCAAAGTCAATGAGTTGACTCTGTTCGAGTTTACTAAATCAGGTTAACTCAGCGAGTTGACTTAGCTCGACCGGTTCGGTGTGACTGGACTGGTTCTAGAAGGCTCTTGGACCGGCAGATGAGTCCCACGCGCACTGTCGGTGCGTGGTGGTATGTGTGATGGTGACGGAGGTCGGGTCGATCGATTGAGCAATCCAGAAGCATCCAAACACCCGACGGCAGACAGCGAGAATGTTGACCGTGGACAACGAACCCAATCGGGTTTTGTACGGACGACGATGAGGAGTCCGACTGTGGCGATGGTGAGGCGAGCCGATGAGCGAGGTGACTGGAATAGAAGAATAAACGAGCAGCGAGATGGGGGTTTCGGTGGACTTTGGCAAGCTCCCCACAACGAATGACGACGGCTAGGACCGATCGGCCATAGTGGTTCTGGTCGAACGACAACATCGCTTCGAATGAGGCCGACGACAATGAAAATTAGCTATCAATGAATGAAATCAGTGGTGGGGCAAGTCGAACCGTTTCCTCACTTCGTTGTCACGAACGACGATTGCTCTGGGTAAATCAAGGGTCGGAATCGGGTCAGAGGATGCTGACGATCAAAACGGGTTGAGTCTTCAGGGAAATTTTGAGGATCGAGGGGTTGTTTCGGGTTTCATGAATGGGGGTTCTAATTTTGGGTTTTTGAGTTATATATCCCAAACCAAAATTATTATAAATTATATTTATTAAATTAGTTATAAACAATGACATAGGTCGGTTGGTAGGGTGATGATCGGTCATACTCTAGGTCACGGATTTAAACCTCTCCCAACCACTCTTTCTTTTGATTTTTGGTGTTAGCTGATATTTTTTATTTTGGGTAAATTATAGAGCTAGTCCCTAAACTTCTTATATATTTAAACTTGACCTAGAAATCTTTAGAATTATTCATTTTGGTCCCTTAATTAAATTAAATAAATTTTATAATTTTTATTTCAAAATGGAGGTTGTGACATAGATATTAAATGTGTAGTTTACCCTTTAATTAAATTTTATGTTAAGATGTTTGGAGAATATTTCTACATATTACAAGTAATTGAACCTTTAATAGAAAGATAAAAACAAGTGCCCAATGCCCACTAGCTACTTTACAACTACAAAATATAGTTTTGTTTAAATCTATGAAATACATGAATATAGTCATTTAAGATTTTTATAGTTCTATTTTTTTTTACTAAAAGTCGGTGGGGGACTTTATTAATTAAAGTAAAAACCAAATGTCCACAAACAGAAAAAAAAAAAAAAACCGAAAAAGCGAAGATCAAAAGCCAGCAAAAGTCTAAAAAACAAAGCCAAAAAGAGAACACGAAAAGACTAAAAACAAAAGTGAAAAACACCCCCTAAAAGAAAACCGACTGAAACCATTCCTTGCAAACCTCATCTGAGATAGAACCTGGTGCAAGACCCCTCAGAACGATGAGAGTCCAGATCTATGGTGGATCTAATCAACGATGATCCTCAACAGTTCGAAGAACAACCTGGTTCGGCGATTCCTCAACCCAAAATTCATCATCTTCGAAGGAGAAAGGAAGCATATCCTATATGCGGCTATATCCTCTATGGTCACCAAAACTAAGTTAAAATAGTTACGTCGATGATGGCGTCAAATGTCAAAAATCCATCACCGTCTTTCGAAAGTAGATCCCAGAGTGAGTTGGATATACTTACTCGGCAAGATGACGATGATGATCAAGGCCTACGACTCCAGTGTACTCAACGATCTCCGTGACATTGTCATTCGATCACTTCGCGACATCGTTAAAAACTTAGAAGACATAAATAAATTGATTTTTACTTTGTAATTTTGATGTAAAAATTTATTTTTTACATTTACTTATTTATTTTGTATTTCGTAAAATTTAAATAAATAAATTTTTTTTTATTTTTTTTTTCAAACTACGACATTTCCTTTAGTGCGCCTGAAACTTGTCACCTACTGTTACTACCCGTTAAACAATGACTAACCAACGACTATTTTTTTTTGAATTCTAAAAAACTCGTCATATCGAGATGATAATTTATGTTAATTTTTTTAATTTAATAAATTTTATTTTTTAAATTTAAAAATTATATTTTTAATAAATTTATTACATAAACGTGATGAATTATTATAACTATAATTAAATAATAGCCCGCATGAAGTTCATTATGCGAAGATTATTAAAAATAATATCAGTAAAAACTATCTCAAATTACGAGTTCTAGGTACACTAAAACAAATGTCAATTTGGGTACATTCACGTACCCTAAATTTTTACCTGCCTAGGGTATTGGAAAAAAAACCCTAGCAAACACCAAAGAGAAGAGAACGGGTGTTTGGACTTTGTAAATTGATAATTAATACCTTAAGAATTGGAATCTATGACGTAAGCATGTGGGTTCCAGTCCACTTTTTTCACCCTACCGAATAGCATAAGCCAAAATACTCTATAAATACGGTTCCAAGGATGCCAAATATAGGCTTTAAGGCGCCACCGCACAGCAGCGTTTTCCTCGTCGTCTTCATCCGCCGCCGAAAGCTACAAATATACTGTTCTCTTCTGTTCACAAACATTGGATCTCTTATCTATCGTACTCAATCCACCAAAAAGCATGGTCGGAACTAACTCTACCATCAAATTCATCTGCTGTTACGGCGGGAAAATCGTCCCTCGTTACACTGACGGAAAACTTCGTTATCATGGCGGTGAAACCCGTGCACTCGCCGTTGATCGGTCCATTTCCTTTGCTGGTTAGTATTCTCTTCCATCCTTTTATTCACCAACTTTATTTTATTATTAGAATAATTTTAAGTTAAATCGAGGTTGTTTTAAGGATGGAAGAATGATAAAGAATGATATAATAAACAGAGTTATCGTTGAAGATGGGAGAGATGTGCGGGTCACCAGTGAGTCTACGTTGCCAGTTGCCGACGGAGGATTTAGACGCGCTGGTTTCGATCACTTCCGATGAGGATATCGCGAATCTCGTCGAGGAATACGACCGTGTTGCATCGCCGCCGTCTTCTTTAAAGATCAGAGCCTTCCTTTCGCCGCTGAAACCGGCCAGAAAATCGATTTGTTCGCCGCCAAAGCCGCCCAGGAAATCGATTTCTTCGCCGCCTTCGTCTTCATCCAGTCCCAGATATTCCTGCATACGTCAGATCCCGAGGACTCCCGTAGCTTTCCCTCTTTGCTCTAATAAATCGGCGGGGAAGATGATTCCTTGCTACGGTTACCATGGCCAACCTAGTCACATTTACCTTGTTCACAGCGGGAATTACAGGCAATAGCAGAAGATGGAAGGATCATGTGATTTATTAGCCAGTTATGATCCTCAGCGAAGAACAATTAATGCTCAATACTACCCATAGAAGAAGCAAAATAACTTAAAACCATATATGATGTTTGTATCTGAAAATGCATATCCCTTAAGAAGAACTGGTTTTGATTAATGAGTAGCCATTAATGAATTCTCAGCTCCTATATTCGTTTTCCATCATCTCCCAAGTTTTTCTCCTCTGGGAATGTTTTTGTTTGTCGAGTTCCACTGAACTTCAATTTCTCTCAGCTTCCCACAATAACAATTCTACCCTTCTGCTCAATCTCCATTCGCGCTTAATCATCAAAGCAGGTTCCAGAATTCTCTTGCCATCTCCTTCTTCTTATCCTCGACATCGTTAAGTTCAACACGTGTGGTCCACGCGTGTAATATTTTCGCGGGCATTATCATCCTTTTCTTCATTTTTATTTCTTGTTCTGATCTTTTTGCCTTTAATAGAATATTACGTTTTGTGTGCTTTATCATAATGGTGTTTGATGGATTTTTTTTATTCGATTTTCGCAGGTCAATGAATTAAGGACTTAAAACACCAAACAAGCTTCGAACGATTGGAGTTGTAGCATCAATGGGTAGGTTGCTTTTACTTTATAATGAAGTCCTACATTTTATTAACCAAGAATCGATTCATAAAATTTAATTTAATTTAAATTAATTAAATAAATTTATGAATATTGTATCTATGAGATGACGAAGCAAAGTATTTGCAGAACCAGATAAATATGGTCTCTGGGTGGGAATATCTATGAGATAACTCCTGATGAGTGGAGACCTTCAATCGATTATGAGCAGATTCGATCCAATTAGTTGCAAAAAGGCAAAAGCAGCAGCACCGAAGCAATGGTTGTTTCCAGTAGCAAACAACCCCAGTAGCAATTGGGACCATTGGAAGAATCAGATGACTCACCACTCTGATTTCTTAAACAATCGCCCTAAAAACCGTCTCATTTCGACAGCTGGTATTTATTTTTAACTAATAAAAAAGAAAAATATGAGGAAAATACGAATCCCAACTCGAATTACTTGGATATTATTTACGAGTGACTGTATTGATGAATCGAAGCCAAGGTCTCCACTCATTCAGCTGGGAATATACAAATATTGAAATTGGATTAAGAAAATCCAAATGGGTTAGATGTTTATGTGGGAATTGTTTAAATTAGTAAAATTATATTTTTGATTCTTAATATTTATACATTCAATCAATTTAAACTTAATTTTAGTTTAGTATCTGTTTGGTTGTAATTGATTTTCTGAAAATTTAATTCAGGAAAATGAATTACTGAAATTTAAATTCTGGAAATAAATTACAATTTTAGAAAACGTTTTCAGGAAAATATTTTTAGTAAAATGAAAAATATTTTTTTGAAAAATATCTGGAAAATGTTTTATGATGTTTGGAATATGTTGTTTAAACATTTTTTTCCACTAGTTAATAAGTTTTTTAAAAATTATTTATTATAAATATTAAATATAATAAATAATATTATTTATTATAAAACTTAATATTATTAATTTTAAAAAATTAAAATAATTTATTATTATTAAATATTATTTTTATAATTTTATTAATAAAAAAATATTAATATTGGTATATTTTACTGAAATAAAAATATTATAAATTATATTAATTATTTATTAAAGTAATATTGTTATATTATATTTTAAAATATTAATTAGTATATTTTAAATATCTTTATTAAAATATTATTAGATTATTATATTAATATAAATTTAATAATATTATTTCTATGAAATTAATAAATAATATAAATTTTATTAATAATTTATTTTATATTATTAAAATAAAAATATAATATCTTATATTATTATAATATTATTGATTATTTTATTATAATATTATATTATTAGAAATATTAGTAAATATATTTTAAATATTTTAATAATTAATATTTTGATTAAAATGATAATAAAATATTTTATTAATATTAAATTCATAAAATAAAATTATTTTGAGTATTTATTCTTTGAAGTGAAAAGTTCGGAAAATGATTTACGGAAAATTAGACCGTAAGTCATTTTTCAGAGAACACAAAGGAAATTATGTTGATCAGGAAAATATTTTATGTTGACCAACCAATTTTCCTCCAACTAAACACTAGAAAATATTTTTCGGAAAATGAATTACGTAAAACAAATACGGGAAAACATTTTCCGAAAAACGAATTACGTAAAACAAACACGAAATTTCGGGAAAAATTAATTTCGTAATTCATTTTACGACAAACAAATAGACCCTTAATTTAATAAATTAACCCTTAACAATTAAGAGATTATATTATTTTTGACATGTGTCACAGTTGACAATGTCATGATTGGATTTTTTTATAAATTTTTTATTTATATTTTATTCAATCAAACGATAACACGTGTTGTCTTCTGATTGAATAGACATTTGTAAAATAATTTAAATGAGGATTCAAACTTATTCTATTGTTAATGATAGACAAACAAAGAAATAAAATAATTTAAATGATGATTCAAACTTAGGTCAATTATAAAATATATGAGTATCGCATGAACCAATTTACCTCAATAGTTAAAAGAATCGTTGAAGTTCGTAGAAGTCATAGGTTCGAGCACTAACAGGGTGATTTAATGTTCATTGTCAAATTATTGAGAGTATTTAGAGAAATATTACTTTATAATCACCTTAACTTAATAAAATAAAAAAGTATCTAAACTAATTAAACAAGTATAATATTTTTATAATTAAATAAGATTTATATATCATAGTATTTAATACAAGATTTAATATTAAAAATATTTTTTTATTTTTAAACTAAATTTAAAAATTTTATACTTATTTTTAGAAATATAAATATGAAAAAAATACTGAATTTAATTTAGAAATGTAAAAACAATAAACTTAATATAAAAAATATTGAATTTAATTTAATACTATAAAAAATAATTTTAATTTTAATTTTAAATCTTGTATTAAATTTGATTTATAATATATAAAATCTATTTAATTATAAAAATCATATTTACTTAATTAGTTTAGGCGCTCTTATGTTTCACAATTGGTTTAGGTTCGAATTCTCATTTAAATTATTTTATTTATTTGTTTTTCTATCATTAACAATAATACACGATAAATAAAATTGATTGCAATGCTTAATCAAATGAAGCATTTGACCAAGTGGTTTTAGTATCCCTCCTCTATCCAAGTGTCTTAAATTCAAACTTCACAAATGCATATTTTATGTAAAGAACATGTCACATTTTTATTGAATAGAAAATAAATTTTAATAAAGTAAATTAAAATTAAGACTAAATTGATTGAATGTACAAATATAAAAGTTCAAATATGTAATTATATTAATTTTATTAATTACCACGTAATCACTTTTCAACGATATATTTTTATATTATTATTGATTAAATAATTAAATGATCATATTAATAAAATTTTAAAAGTAATTATCATATCGACATCAATCTTATAATTAGAAAATCATAAAGTAGTTTACCGTTTCATTTAAATAAGAGAAACGATGAGACAATGGTTGGGACTGAGAAATCAGGAACTGTATTGATGGAAGTAGCAAGAGATTGTTTGTGTGGGGCTACTGAAAGCATCGCACCTGACCCGTCCGTTTGCCATGGAGTAATGATGAAGCATGTGTGGCCTCTCTGTCTTCAACAAATTGAGACTCCCTAAACAAAACTTAATCAAAATAACCGCTTTATTTCAATAAGCAAAAGACCCAAACAGCTGGGGGAGTGTCGTCTGTGTTTTTTTCCTACGAGTCCTCGTAATTTGTTGAGGGTTATTGAATGCCTGCTGCCGTTGCACAAGTCTGAAGTGCTTGATGCTATTAGGTGTGTGTGCTCTAAAACATCACGTCCTAATTAATAAAAAAAGATAACTTGTTAATATATATAATTCGTCCTAAAAAATAATTTTAAATCCATCACCAAATCAAATATATTTTGAAGTACGAAAGTGAACTAGTTCTATTATCTAATTAGTTTACGGCATGAAACTCCATTAATATCATTATATTACTACAAATATAAAACGTACATATCTTTAATTGAAATTCATATAAAATGTGTTCGAACATTACAGAGTAATTAAATCTCGGTGTAATTTAGTTGAAAATGGTGTTTGAACATACATTCATTGCTTGATAGCAATAATGTGGTACGGTTGGGTGATCCAATTTCTATAAAAATTCCGACCGATGCCCTTGGCTAATTTGGTCCAATAGGCCATGTGGGTAAAAAAAATGTCCATTAAACCATCTCTAAAATTAAGTTGTGATCTACAATATTAGCTATAGTAATTCAGAACTCATTCGTTGATGTGATAATTTTGGATAAAAAATGTTATTCGGGCAAACTCGTTGTATGAGTGTGATGAGTTTTCTCTACACCGTAACATTTGTCCTAAATCCCAAAATAATTTTAGAGGTGACCTAATAAGCTAATTTTTTTACCCACCTGACCTATAGGATTTTTTTTTTGGATAAGTTTATTCATTACCCAAAGAAAGCAGTTTAACTGCTACAAATAACAGGCAACATTATCCCTGAAAAGACAACAAAACCAACCCAGACTACAAAATTCCCCAACTACTACAAAATTGGCATTTATCCTATCAGCTCCATTTATATTCTTGCTCCTTAACTGAGTCTGCACCATGAACTTGACAATCTGCAACAATTCACTCACTGTATTAGATCGAAACCTCCCCCTCAAAATCATGTGATTCCTTTCCTCCCACAACAAATAGACAGAAGCCCCACAAGCAATTTTAAGAATGACATTATGAAGAGACTTACCCTTAAGGAAACTCACTATCCAATCCAGCACACCATTCCACGGTTTAACAACCCACCCCTGAGCACACAATCGCAAAGTATCAACCCACAAGCAATTAGCAAATAAACAAGCAGCGAAAAGATGATCCCTGGTCTTCATAACATTATTGCACACGTTATCTATGGGGATATCCCATCGCAACAACCTATCTTTAGTAGGCAGTCTACTAAGAATGGCTATCCAATCCACAACACTATGCTTAGGAATATGACCAGAAAACCAAATCTACCAGTGCCAAGAAACCTTAAGTCTCTTTGGCCTGGTTTCCTCCCAAATCCTCTTAGTTCTGAGGCCACTGCCAAGACTACTGGGTCAATTTTACCCAAGCCCAAACTACCATATCCTGTTAATGAAAGAAGAAGACAAGCCCCAAATGAGAGAGAGAGAGGTCCATCAAACAACAGGGCAGGATGTGAACAAAGGAAACCGCTAAACCAGGTCAAGCAATACAGCACACGACGAGGTAAACAACATTTGGCATTCACCACCGCCAGACACGGTGCTCATCAGCAGTTAGTCGTCATCCTTACCTGTCGATGCTCCCCCAAATTCCGTTTTCTCCATCTCGTCTTTCTTGAAGACGGCTTTTGATGGATCCCACTCTTTCAAAGTTTCCGATTCTCTCTTACATCTGCTCCCAACAAGACCCCTACAATTACCCATCGCTCCCTCGCGACATCTCCATCGACTTATTCACCCGTTTCCCCCGTCTATACGACCCGGCAATCCTTTCTTCACTTTCCCAATCCATCCCTTCCACCGTCACCCAAACCCACTCCCTCCTACGCTCCCTTGGGCCCCGACCCGACCCATCTGCAGTCTCCGCTGCCCGTTCCAAGATTATCCAGATTCAAGAAACCCAATCTTCCTCACAGGAGGCCGAGATATTTAAGTCCGTGATCAGGTTGGAAGCGTTGCACGAGGATTACGAGAGACAGTTGACCGAGTTGGAGGAGAATTTGGGTCGTCTCTACCGTTCAGCTGTGGAACAAATGAGAGGTGAAATTGAAGTGAATGAGGAGGTCGTGAGGATTCTGGAAGAAGCTGAAACTGGGGTCGTTGAAAGAGTTGAGCTCTCTGGAAGGGGGCTGAGGCTTTTGCCTGAGGCCTTTGGTAAACTTCATGGATTGGTTCATCTCAATCTTTCCAGCAACCAGATAGAGGTATTACATGCTTCAATTCTTCTGTTTATCAAATTGATTTAAAATTGCTTTATTTCCTGTTGGAAATATATTTCGTTTTTCATGAATCATGACTCTCTTTTGCGCAATGCGCTGCTTCTTTATGTTAGATAAGGTCTTCACTAGTCACTACTTTATATATGTTATTGTTAATTGTAACTGTTCACAATATAGGTAGTTTTGCTTCATTCATTTTTTTTTGAAGTGATGATGATAAGGATTTGTTATTGTGTGTGTAACAATGATGAATCTTTGGTTTTGGGTCTGTAGAATTCATCTTTTTGGTAAGTGTTGTTTTGCTTGGTGTATGAGAACCAGGTCATTCCTGATTCAATAGGAGGTCTAAAGAAACTTGAGGAGCTTGATGCATCCTCCAACCAATTGCAATATCTGCCTGACTCCATTGGTTTGTTGCTTAATCTGAGGATCCTCAATGTCTCGGGAAACAAGCTAAATGCTCTCCCTGAAAGCATAGCTCGATGCAGGTATCACGGGTGTTTTTTCTTTTTCCACTCTTGTGCTGGTTTTGTTCTCCACTTATTGCTTTTGTGTGAAATAAACAAAGCGTCCTAGATAAAAGGTTCTACCTCGTTTGAGAACCCTAAAGTGCCTCCTTGACCGTTAAAAACTGTTTTCATTTTAAGCAAATTAAACCCGAAACCATTACGATGAAAAAGAACTGTAAATTCTATCTAAACATCTGTATTCCTACCACAGACAGATCTTATGTTTCTCTGTGATAGAAGTTCAGCCTTTCTCTTGACATCTGTATTTCTACAACAAACAGATCTTATGTTTCTCTGTGATAGAAGTTCAACCTTTCTCTTACTCTTGTTCTAGATTGAAGAACAAAGTTTCATAGTCAATAATATCATTTCTTTTGGTTTCTTATTGAAAGAATTTGGGTCCTGTTGCATCTACATAACAACAAGTTCATGGAAAATTTGGGCCCTCTATCCGTACACACAAATACAGTCATATACTAAGGAAGTACCTGGGGCCTTAGAGCCTACCCAAGGAATACCTTAGGTCCGTAAAGAATTACCAGTTTGTCAGAGCTGAACATTCATACTCCAAAATCCTACTCGGTTCATACAGTAATCAATAGATTCCATGATTCATAAATCAAGAATGATTATATTTCCAGTGAAAACATGTAACTAGAGAACACATATCAGGTCGTCATAGTTCATAAATAGTAATTCAATATATCAGTAAATCAAAATATCGAACAGCTAAAAGATTCAGTAAAATAATAACTTCAGTAAATCACATTTCAGGACATATAAAATAATCATATATTACATATGGAACACACTAGAATATCCAATTATTCTTCAGAGGTACTTGGTATTTATTAGGTAGGGACCCACGAAAATTTTGTAATTTTTTAAAATTTCATAAATGAGATCCCTATTAAAAAGGTTTGATAGCTAACGAATTAATCAGTCATTCATAAAGCGATACATCAGGATCATTTAGTGTTTAGATATATCTGAAGGGTATTTAAGAATTGTTGTATCAGAATTTACTTAAGATTCAAATATTCCAGGGGTGATTCCGTCAATCATATTTATAAGAGCATTATATTCATTTGATTCTTGAGAAATTTGATAAATCAGTTTAAAAAATGTATGAAGTGATTTATAGAATTTCAGATTTCAAACATCTTAACATGTTTCCAATTCCACTCGCATTGTACAAATCCCAACAAAGGCAATACTTATCAAGTATGTAGGTAAAGAAAACTTCACAAATGTTCATTTCTTAAAGCTGACTGCACTGTGGTATCGAATTGATCACATTCATAACCATTTTTGGACTAATCATGAGGATACAAATAGGTATTTAAGCGGTATTTAATTACTTTATAACAATATTAGGGATGATCGACCTACTTAGGTCGTACTCTATAAACCTCAAGTGCATTACCACATTTAAAGCTTCACCGATATCTTCAGAATTTATCTAAGACATTTGCTCAATCCAAGTCATGAGGGTATTTAGGTCATTTTGGTATTCAATGTTGATTTATTCATTTTGGAGCTTGAGGGTATTTAGTCATTCCAAGGCTTGGAGTTACTTTGGGTTAGTTGCACTTCAAGGGTATATTGGTCATTTCTTTCAGTCTAATCTTTCCATTTAATTTAATTTTTCGAATAATTCAAACTTAAATAGTACTTCCGATGTTTTAGCTTTTAGGTATTTGCTGATAAATCAACAATTCTAGGTTTTGTACCTTCTCGAATGTTAAGATCTTATTATTAGTTACTTTTCGAACATATTAGGAATTTAACAGGTGAATCAGTAGTTTATCGGATTAAATACGAATTCTCATGGTACTTTCACTATCAGGTGTATCACTTCCGATGAGGATATCGCGAATCTCGTCGAGGAATACGACCGTGTTGCATCGCCGCCGTCTTCTTTAAAGATCAGAGCCTTCCTTTCGCCGCTGAAACCGGCCAGAAAATCGATTTGTTCGCCGCCAAAGCCGCCCAGAAAATCGATTTCTTCGCCGCCTTCGTCATCGACTTCGTCTTCATCCAGTCCCAGATATTCCTGCATACGTCAGATCCCGAGGACTCCCGTAGCCTTCCCTCTTTGCTCTAATAAATCGGCGGGGAAGATGATTCCTTGCTACGGTTACCATGGCCAACCTAGTCACATTTACCTTGTTCACAGCGGGAATTACAGGCAATAGCAGAAGATGGAAGGATCATGTGATTTATTAGCCAGTTATGATCCTCAGCGAAGAACAATTAATGCTCAATACTACCCATAGAAGAAGCAAAATAACTTAAAACCATATATGATGTTTGTATCTGAAAATGCATATCCCTTAAGAAGAACTGGTTTTGATTAATGAGTAGCCATTAATGAATTCTCAGCTCCTATATTCGTTTTCCATCATCTCCCAAGTTTTTCTCCTCTGGGAATGTTTTTGTTTGTCGAGTTCCACTGAACTTCAATTTCTCTCAGCTTCCCACAATAACAATTCTACCCTTCTGCTCAATCTCCATTCGCGCTTAATCATCAAAGCAGGTTCCAGAATTCTCTTGCCATCTCCTTCTTCTTATCCTCGACATCGTTAAGTTCAACACGTGTGGTCCACGCGTGTAATATTTTCGCGGGCATTATCATCCTTTTCTTCATTTTTATTTCTTGTTCTGATCTTTTGCCTTTAATAGAATATTACGTTTGTGTGCTTTATCATAATGGTGTTTGATGGATTTTTTTATTCGATTTTCGCAGGTCAATGAATTAAGGACTTAAAACACCAAACAAGCTTCGAACGATTGGAGTTGTAGCATCAATGGGTAGGTTGCTTTTACTTTATAATGAAGTCCTACATTTATTAACCAAGAATCGATTCATAAAATTTAATTTAATTTAAATTAATTAAATAAATTTATGAATATTGTATCTATGAGATGACGAAGCAAAGTATTTGCAGAACCAGATAAATATGGTCTCTGGGTGGGAATATCTATGAGATAACTCCTGATGAGTGGAGACCTTCAATCGATTATGAGCAGATTCGATCCAATTAGTTGCAAAACGGCAAAAGCAGCAGCACCGAAGCAATGGTTGTTTCCAGTAGCAAACAACCCCAGTAGCAATTGGGACCATTGGAAGAATCAGATGACTCACCACTCTGATTTCTTAAACAATCGCCCTAAAAACCGTCTCATTTCGACAGCTGGTATTTATTTTTAACTAATAAAAAAGAAAAATATGAGGAAAATACGAATCCCAACTCGAATTACTTGGATATTATTTACGAGTGACTGTATTGATGAATCGAAGCCAAGGTCTCCACTCATTCAGCTGGGAATATACAAATATTGAAATTGGATTAAGAAAATCCAAATGGGTTAGATGTTTATGTGGGAATTGTTTAAATTAGTAAAATTATATTTTTGATTCTTAATATTTATACATTCAATCAATTTAGACTTAATTTTTTAATTTTAGTTTAGGTGGTTGTAATTGATTTTTTAGAAATTTAATTATGTAAAATGAATTACTGAAATTTGAATTCTGGAAATGAATTACATTTTTGGAAAATGTTTTCAGAAAAATATTTTTTGCAAATTGAAAAATATTTTTCTGAAAAACATCTGGAAAATTTTTTATGATGTTTGGAAGATGTTGTTTAAACATTTTTTTTCCACTAGTTAATAAATTTTTTAAAAATTATTTATTAAAAATATTAAATATAATAAATAATATTATTTATCATAAAACTTAATATTATTAATTTTAAAAAATTAAAATAATTTATTTATTATTAAATATTATTTTTATAATTTTATTAATAAAAATATTAATATTGGTATATTTTATTGAAATAAAAATATTATAAATTATATTAATTATTTATTAAAGTAATAGTGTTATATTATATTTTAAAATATTAATTAGTATATTTTAAATGTCTTTATTAAAATATTATTAGATTAATATTAAATATATAAATAAAATTAACAATGTTATTAAAACCGGACCGGACTGGCCGGTGCGACCGGTTGAATCGTGAACCGGTGGCCTGTCCGGTCTGGTTAATTCCCAAAACCTGATTAGCACAGAACCGGTAAAGAACCGGAAGAACCGGCTGAAAACCGGGAAAACCGGGGTGAACCGGCTGAAAACTGACAAAACCGATTTGAACCGCCGGTTCACTTTTTTTCTTTAAAAAAAATTAAACCAAACGACGTCGTTTATTCAACGAGCCGAGTCAAATTCGAGTATTGCTGAGCTAGACTCGAACTCGAAAACTTTAAAAGTAAGCTCAACTCGACTCAAAAACTCACGAGCTAAAAATTATCAACTCGAAATATAATGTTAAAACTTGAAATCGAAAAGGCTCGAACTCAAAAAAAATTTAGAAGTTCGATTGAAGCCTAAAATTTGAGCTTAATTGAAGCGAAAGAATAGTTCACTTTGTGCTCACCAAAAGGCTCCATGATTTTGAATGTCAAATTACCTCTATTATTTATAGAAGTAAGTTGAGATGCTCTTCTATGTTTCTTAGCCATGTGGGATTGTTTTGTTCTCATATTTTTACTCTTTAAATTTTTGGGATACTCTTCTATGTTTCTTAGCCATGTGGGATTGTTTTTTTTAAACAATTAAAACCAAATGACATCATTTGTTATGATTTTTTAAGCCTCAAATTTATTTTTTTGAATATAGTTATATAATTATATTTATTATTTAATATGTTTTACCTTAAATATTATGTTGTAGTTGATTTGAATTATTTTGTTTCATTTGATTTTATGGTTTTTCATTTATACATGTTATGACTTGTGATATTTTTATACCTTTTAATATTGTAAACTTAAAAAAAGTGTTACATATATATTAATATTTCTTTGAATATTATGTAAAATTAAAAATATATATTATTTTATATAAAATCCGGTTCAACCGCGGTTGAACCCGGTTGAACCAGTGAGCCAGTGAACCAGTACCTTCACCTGTTCAATGTCTGGTCCGGTTTTGAAAACATTGAAAATTATTCATTATTAATAATTTAATAATATTATTTCTATGAAATTAATAAATAATATAAATTTTATTAATAATTTATTATATATTATTAAAATAAAAATATAATATCTTATATTATTATAATATAATTGATTATTTTATTATAATATTATATTATTAGAAATATTAATAAATATATTTTAAATATTTTAATAATTAATATTTTGATTAAAATGATAATAAAATATTTTATTAATATTAAATTCATAAAATAAAATTATTTTGAGTATTTATTCTTTGAAGTTAAAAGTTTAGAAAATAACTTACGGAAAATCAGACCGTAAGTCATTTTCCGTAAAAACACAGGAAATTCTGTCGATCAGGAAAATGTTTTACGTTGACCAAACAATTTTCCTCCAACTAAACACTGGAAAATATTTTCCGGAAAACGAATTACGTGAAATAAACACGGGAAAATATTTTCCGAAAAACGAATTACGTAAAATAAACACGAGATTTCGGAGAAAATCAATTCCGTAATTTTTTTACGACAAACAAACATAACTTTAATTTAATAAATTAACCCTTCACAATTAAGAGATTTTATTATTTTTGACATGGGTCATAGTTGACACATGTCATGATTGGATTTTTTTATAAAATTTTTATTTATATTTTATTCAATCAAACGATAACACGTGTTGTTTTCTAAATGAATAGACATTTGTAAAATAATTTAAATGAGGATTCAAACTTATACTATTGTCAATGATGGACAAACAAAGAAATAAAATAATTTAAATGATGATTCAAACTTAGGTCAATTATAAAATATATGAGTATCGCATGAACCAATTTACCTCAAGTTAAAGGAATCGTTGAAGTTCGTAGAAGTCATAATTTCGAGCACTAGCGACACTAGCAGGGTGATTTAATATTCATTGTCAAAGTATTGACAGTATATAGAAGAAATATTACTTTGTAATCACCTTAACTTAATAAAATAAAAAAGTATCTAAACTAATTAAACAAGTATAATATTTTAAAATTAAATAAGATTTATATATCATAGTATTTAATACAAGATTTAATATAAAATTTTTTTTATTTTTAAACTAAATTTAAATTTTTATACTTATTTTTAGAAATATAAATATGAAAAAAATACTGAATTTAATTTAGAAATGTAAAAAAATAAACTTAATATAAAAAATATTGAATTTAATTTAATACTATAAAAAATAATTTTAATTTTAAATCTTGTATTAAATTTGATTTATAATATATAAAATCTATTTAATTATAAAAATCATATTTACTTAATTAGTTTAGGTGCTCTTATATTTCACAATTGGTTTAGGTTCGAATTATCATTTAAATTATTTTATTTGTTTGTTTTTCTATCATTAACAATAATACACGATAAATAAAATTTATTGCAATGCTTAATCAAATGAAGCATTTGACCAAGTGGTTTTAGTATCCCTCCTCTATCCAAGTGTCTTAAATTAAAACCTTCACAAATGCATATTTTATGTAAAGAACATGTCACATTTTGATTGAATAGAAAATAAATTTTATTAAAGTAAATTAAAATTAAGACTAAATTGATTGAATGTACAAATATAAAAGTTCAAATATGTAATTACATTAATTTTATTAATTATCACGTAATCACTTTTCAACGACATATTTTTATATTATTATTGATTAAATAATTAAATGATCATATTAATAAAATTTTAAAAGTAATTATCATATCGACATTAATCTTATAATCAGAAAATCATAAAGTAGTTTACCGTTTCATTTAAATAAGAGAAACTATGAGACAATGGTTGGGACTGAGAAATCAGGAACTGTATTGATGGAAGTAGCAAGAGATTGTGGGGGAAGTTCTGCTGTGCGGCGTCTAAAAAGGGGTTAAAAAACGGTGTGATCGGTTAAATAAGTGATCGGTTAAAATTTAGACCGGTTATATTATATCATTTAACCGGAAATATTATCAAGCACAATAACAAATTAGGTATCGCTTATATAATGTAATAGGTTGTGCTTATATAATAAAATATGCATTTAACCGGAAATATTATCAATTACAATAACAAATTAGGTAGTGCTTATATAATGTAATAGGTAGCACTTATATTGACATATTTTCTCATAAAATCGGTATATTTAAACTGGTTACATTATAAATTGACC